GGGTGAGTTATGGAGGGACAGATGGAGAGTGGATGCAAGGGTGGATGGACGGGCAAACAGATGGATGGATGAGTGGATGAATAGGGTTGTGCAGGAAGTTAGGTAGATGAAGGAATGGATGAGTGAATAATGGAGAAAGTTGGTGATAGATGGATGGAGAATGGATTGGAGTATGTTCATAAAAGAGTAGGTGGGTCAGTGAATGGTTGCTAAGCTCAGTGAATCGGTCGTGTGTTGGTGGTATCTGCCTCTTTGTGAAATAGGAGAGGTGTGATCTATTGCTATGACAGAGGTGGAGGGAATAGAGTGAGTATGTGGAAAGGTCTGAGAAAAGGGAGAGGAGCTTATCAAAGATGTAGAAGACTGAAGCAATGTTTAAAGCTCAGCTGTTTTGAGAAAAGCTTGTGTTTGGGGCAGTGGCGAGCAATTGGGCAAGGTGGGGGTTCAGAGTAGCCTGGGCTTCCTTAGCTAATGTTACTACAGGGCATACCATTGACTTCTCCCTTATCTTTGCAGCACACCTGTCACCAGCCTTCTCTCTCCAGGAGGGTAAAGTGGACCTCATCGAGAACACATTCTGTAATACCTTACAAGGGCAAAGAACTAGCAAAGGCAAGACCTATTCTGTGCATGAGGAAATGCTGTGTGCAGGGGACTTCTTGACAGGAAAGTCCATCTGCCATGTGAGTAAGGTCATTTATGCTCTTCCTTTGCCTGTTCTCTTGGCCTGTTTCCCCAGGGGGGTCGAGGACTGTGATGCCTCTGTTGTCTACGCAGGAACCCCTGGATTTCCTGGGTTTCCCTCTGCATACTTTCCTGAATTCCATGCCCTAGAAGTTTCCCCAGATTAGCCCTTTTCTCAGCCCATCCAAGCATGAGCATCTGTTAGAAGGACCCTCAAACAGAATTTATTTTTGCTGCTTATTTTAAACTCTTAGGTGAAGTATAGCATACATATATCAAAGTACATGTAGTTTGAAGAACTTTTCCATGCTGACACAATGTGCTGCCAGCACCCCCAGAAGCCCCATTGTGCCCCCTTCTTATCACCAACCACCATCTTCACTTTTAAAACTTCAGATTGGATTCTGAATTTTCTATAAATGAAATTTTCAGTTGGCACTCTTTTGTGTCCTAACATTGTATTTGCATTGTATTTGTGAGATTCTTCCACACTGTTGCATGTCATCACACTGTGTTCAGTCTTGTTGTTCTGTGGTGTGCTGCTGTGTTCATTGAGTTCCATGATCAATTCTACACTGGGCGCATATTTGAGTCATTTCCAAGCTGGAGGTGTTACAAGCAGCACAGATGAGCACCATCTATATCATATTCTATTATATAGAAGTCCTTGAGCAAAACTGCTGGGTGAAAAGGTATGTATGTGTGTTCAGCCTTGACAAACAGCCCTCCCTCCAGTCGTGGATGAGAGTTTCTGTCTTCACCCACACTTGGCCCTTTCCATCTTTTCTCATTTTGACCATTCATGGTGAGTGTGTAGTGGCTTGTGGTTTTAAATTTGTGTTTCTTGATTACTAACTAAATATTTTTTCTTATGTTTATTGTCATTGGACATCTTCTGTGAAGTCTCCCTTCAAGTTTTTTTCCCTTTTCATTCTTCTGTTGGGTTGTCTTTTTCTTCTAGGAGCTCTTTATATAGTCTGGATGTAAGTTCATCATTAGCAAATGGATTGTAATGTCCCATTTGATAGGTGGGTAAATAGGCCCCGAGAGGGAAAGTGGCTAGCCTAAAGTGAGGCGGCACCATCTGGGCCCAGTTGTTGTGACCCCAAGGCCAGCTCTGCCTTCTCCCACAGGATCCAGCCTCCTGCGCTGGCATCTGTGAGCTGAGCTTTTGCTGAGATATCTCCTTACAGTGGAGAGGAAAGTGTTAGGGCACACTGGAATCAGAGACATTGCTCCGCCAGGTGTATCTGCCTTGTGACCTTGGGTGGCCTCTTCTCCTTCTGAGCCTGGGTTCTCATCCTCTGTGTGGGGATTCTGAGCCTTCTTCATGAAGTTGATGAAAGGATGTTGTAGTAGGTTGAATAGTGCCCCCCCAATTCATGTCCACTTGGAACCTCATTTGTGACCTCATTTGGAAATAGGATCTTTACAGATGTAATTATGAATCTCAAGAGGAATCCATCCTTGATTTAGGGTGGACACTAGATTCAATGACTGATATTCTTGTAAGAAAAGGAAAAGCCATAGAGATGCACACAGAGAAGATGACCATGTGAAGATGAAGACCAAGAGTAGAGTGATGTGGCCATGAGCCAAGGAATTCCTGGGTCAGCAGAAAAGGCAAGGAAGGGTCCTCCCCTAGAGCTTTTGGAGGTAAGTATGACCCTATCAACACCTTGATTTCAGACTTCCAGCCTCCAGAACCATGTGAGAATACATTTCTGTTTTTTCTAAGTCACTGAGTTCATGGCAAAGTGTTATAACAAGCCCTCAGAAAGAAATACATTTAGCTAAGTTCATGGTGCTACCAAATGACAGACTGAAAACTAGAACTAGGTCTCTCCTGCCTCACAGTCCGAGCCTTGGATCCCTCTGGCCCATAGGAAGGGCTCCTTGACAGCATTGTTTTCATTCCTGTACAGTGAGCTGGCTGCCCTGCTGGTGGGAGGTGCCCCAGGTTTCTTGGTTCCCCGTCAACATTCTCAGTCATTCTACCTTCTTGTCTGTCTGGCCCATCCCATCTTCTCAGTCAGCTGCCCACAGGTGGAGCAAGGAGGCTGCCAAGTGCCAAGGACTGGCGGGCTCAGTCACTGTGTCCCCAGTCCAGCTCCAGTCCAGCCCTGTGCTCCACCTGCTTCTTCTTGCAAAGGCTGTGCTCGTGAGTCTCAGGGCCAGCATTCTCTGACTGCATGTTGGACATCCCATAGTGTCCCCTCTGTGTGACCCCGCCCTCCTCTAGTAGGAACTAAACCTGTCTCCAGGCAGAGGACACCAATGAGTTGGAGACCTCTGTAGCTTTCCAGTCACTTCTGCCTGTCTGTGAGACTCCATCTGGACTCATCTCCTGCTGTGTTGCCTGCTACCCCAAGGCTCTCTGCCCTCCCCTGAAATACCCCCAACCATGCATGGGGCACCTCACAAGAGCTCTGAGGAGATATGAAACTGATTTCAGGGTGACTCAGTGTTCACAGTATGGGGCAGGACAGACCTGGTTCCAGTCTTTACTCTGTCATTTGATGTGCTATGACCTTAGCTAAGTTTCTTCACCTGTGCAATGGGTGCTGACAGCCTCTACTTCTTAGGGTTCCTGTAGAAAATGTAGCACTGTGCCTGACTTCAGCAGGTGCCAGACAAGTGTTGGCATTCATGTTCTGGCTTTGCCTGTCTCCCTCTCTTTTAGTTGTACTAATCCTTCTGGATCCATCTTAGACCCACTCCTTCAGCCAAGGTGGAATTCACCACCGTGGCCCCGGCTCCACTGGACTCATGCACGAATGGTTTCCTCTGTCTCTACAGTAGTGCAAACGGCAGTTCACTCTGCATGGGATACATTCGCCCTGGACCTTCCTCTGCCTACTCAGAGATCCCCAGTGATCAGAGGGACACTGGGGTCTCTCCCATCTCTCCCAGAGTGGCCCAACAGGATACTGGCAACCACACAGTTCATCTGCGTGAATTGCTGAGACCTGCAGTGGATAGGGACCACTGCCTAGAGGATCAGGCCTCCTGCTGGCCTCCAACAAGCTGGGTGGTGGGCCCTCTGTGGGGAAGGGCAAGAGGACTTGGGGTGGCAGGGGGCACTGGGGGAGGCACTAGGGCAGTGGAGACCCACTATGTGAATTTGCTGGGGCTGCAGTAATGAATCACCATAAACTGAGTGGCTCAGACCACAGGGATCTATTTTTTTATAGTTCTGGAGGTCAAAAGTCTAAAATGAGAATGTTGGCAGGACTGGCTCCCCAGGTGGCTCTAGGGGAGATGCCCTTCTCCACCCTCTCCAGCTTCTACGGTCACCCACATTCCTTGGCTCCCAGTGTCTTCCTCCACCTTCCAAGTGCATTAGTGCGACCTCTGCATCTGGTATGGCATCTCCTTCTCAGACTCTGACCCTCCCGCCTCCCTCTTTCCCTCACAAGGAACTTTGTGATGACATTGGGGCCCATTTGCAAAGTCCCTTTTGCCTCATAAGACACCATAATCACAGGTTCCAGGAATAAAGGCATGGATATCTTTGGGGCCTCTTTCTGGTGACCACACCGTGTCACTCCTTCTCTCCCCTTGGGCCGCCCCTCCACCAGCGCAGACATCTTGCTTCTCACCTCACCACAAAGATCTCAGGAGTTGGATGGAGCTCCATCCTCTCAAGGAGAGCAGCCACCCGCTCCGAGCTGCCCAGTCCCTCCCGGCCCAGTGGCTCATCCTGGGCCAGCCCGTCCTTAAGCATGGGTCCCCAGGGCCTTTTCCCTGCTCCATGTCCTCTGCCCTCACTCTCATGCCTCCAGCAACCTCCTCTAGCTGCCACTGGTGTCTCTGCCTCCTTTCCCAGTGACCCCTTCTGGGTGAATGTCCCCGGCCTCTGGGCCCAGTCCACTCCACTCTGCCCTGCCACGCTGCCTCCCTTGCTGGGTCCCTCCTCCTTGGCACAGCGGCCACCACTCACACTCAGCTAGGAGCCCCCCTTGCAGCTCTCCATCTGAGGACCCGAGTGGGAGCCTGACTCGGACTGCTGAGGCTAGAGCACTGACCTTGCTATCTGGCGTCTCCAGCCCCCCATCCCAGCACTACCTCCTCTCTCTCTTTTTCCTTAGGGTGATTCCGGGGGGCTTCTGCTCTGCTATCTCCCCAGTGCATGGGTCCTGGTGGGACTGGCCAGCTGGGGCCTGGACTGCCGACATCCCGTCTACCCCAGCATCTTCATCAGAGTAACCTACTTCACCAATTGGATTAAGAAAATCAAGAGGCTCGCCCCTCCTCCTGACCCTGTCCCGGTGCCCTCAATATCCTCTCCACCCAAGTCTCTGAGGACTGGGGCTTTACCCAGGTGCTTCCATGGACCAGGCTCTTGGTGCCCTTTAGCCTCAGGGCTTGATGGCAGGCCAAATGGTGACTGGAGAGCCCCTGGGCCCCCACTCACTGCCAGTCTTGGTCTCTATGCTAGAACCTCCCTCTCTCCAGCCCACTATCTCTATAAGTGGTTTGTTCTCCTTAGCTTTTCTGTCTAACTTGTCTTCAGTCAACTGCACTGTCCAAGCCAAGCCTAGCTGAAGGAAACCAACCACATAAAAGACCCATGTTCTCCGCCCATGCCTCGCACATCCTTCCTGGGCCCCATCTGCTGCTCAGCGCGCACCCTTCCCTGGGAGACTGTCATCTGACTCTCAGTGCAAGAACACAGCACCTCGCAGGGGACTCCCAGCTGTGGGCTCCTAGGAGGAAAGCAGGACTGGGGACACTCAGGGTACACTTGAAAGACAGTGGCGTCAGTGAGACTCAACACCCTTTGAGGCCAGGAGATTTATTAGAGCAGCAGCTACAGAGAGAGGGAAGAGGGTCTGTAACCGCCTGGTAGGGAAGGGGGAGTGAGAAAGCGATGGCGAGAGAGGTCTGTATTTATCGGTTTGGGAGGGGGCGGCCAGTGCCGTACTAGGGTCTTTATTGGAGGGGGCTATGAGGTAGTATTCCTATAGGGAGATAATATTTGTGTATAGGTTTAAGTTGCACGCGCGCAGGAAAGGCAGGAACTTAGGGCGTTTGTTGTCTTTGGTTTCATATAGTGTTTAGCGCCATCTCGGGAGACGCCCTTCGACTGTTCCCTGTGCCTTTCAACACTGAAGGGGCTGGGTCCACAGCTGGGGAGAAAGCGAGGTCTGTCTGCCGTCACACACCGCTTCTGTTTTGGGAGTGCCCAGTCCTCCAGAGGAGGTGGGACTTTGTACTCGGTGTCCACAGTGCAGGAAAGCAGGAGTGTAGTGGAGAAACAGCATTGCTGGGGTCTGGAGGAGGGTGAGCCAACTCTCAGTAGAGACCGAGGGAGGGACGTATTTGGAGCACAGAGTGACTGACAGGAACTGAGGAGCAGGACCCAGGCCACAAGGAAGGGGGTTCCAGCTTGTAACTAGGGCTCTTGGATGTGGGGGGCTGGGAAAGTGGGTGGTGGCAGACAGAGAAGGGCCCTGATGCTAGGCTGAGAGCCACGATTTAGGCCAGCCATGCTCAAAGCTCTGCTCTGGGACAACTCCCTGCATCTCCTCAACTGCCTCTGCAGGCCTTCCTTTCCCCAAGTCTGCAGGAGCCCAGCCTGCTTCCCACCTCCCCAGCCCCAATCCTGTGTGAACTTCTCCCTCCTGTCCAAGACCCCAGGCCAAGCCTGTCCTGGGTTTCTGCATTCTTCCAGCTGTTAGAGCCTGGTGTCACTTTCTCTGCTAAGCTGACCCAGGACCTGGTGGCCCAGAAGTAAGACTTGAGGCAATATCTTTGGCTATCCTTCCCATAAACCTGGCGGCACAGAGTCTTAGTGTAGCCAGAAGAACCCCTAAGAGGCCTCTCAGTGCAGCTCACCAAGCCTTCTGAGACCACAATGAAATGGAAGTAATCCCACCTAGACCATGGGTAATACAGACCAGGTGCCATCAAAGGGTTCTATGCAGTCTTCTTTATTGGAGGGCGTAATTGTAAAATACGAAGCAGCGATGATTCAAGCAAGTGAGTGTCTGCTTTATATTCCCAGTCACAGCACAAAATGACCAAGTGTCCTCATCAATGCCAAGATTAAAAGGGAAGGAGGGAGGGAGGGAGGGGGAGGGGGGGAGAGAATGAATGAGGGAGAGAAAGAAAGAAGACAATGCCACGTTCATTAAAATCTCTTGATAATTTTTGTTTTCCGGCTGATCAGATGAGTTTCTCCTGTCACTGTGTCGTCCTCTCTGTACACTTTAATGGTTTTATCAGCTTCAGCTGTTAGTAATCAACTTTCAGACTGATCAAAAGCACAAGCAAATATTCCTGACTCACTGTCCAAAGACCCAGGTTGCCCAACTGCATGAACTCACTGAAAATCGTAGCCAGTTCTCCAGTCCCAAAGATGCACAGCGCCACTATCAGCTCCAGATACAAGTACTCCATCAGAATTTACTGTCAGTGTGTTAATAATAGCACTGTGACCAGAAAGATTCTGAATGAAGTTTCCATCAGGGAATGCTTTATGTCATCTAGAGAACCTGATGCAAATATGCAATGTCTGCGATGTGAAACACAGCCTTAACTGATTTTTTTGTGATTTGTTAATGTCACTCTTGTTTTTCCAGCCACCAGATCCCACACTGTTCTTGTAGTGTTATGGCTTCCTGTAGTACACTGTGGTTCTGCAGCTTAACGCCTCACTGTAACAGCTGCGTATGTATGTCCAGATAATGTGTGTACTCTGGCTTCAGTTCTCACATCCCAGATCCGTGTGGTTGAATCCCGACTGTGGGTTACCAGTACACCAACTGTTGAGTGCAAATCCAAGCACTTAAATGGCCGCGATTGTGCCTTATCGCCTTATTGTGTTCAAGGTCCCAGTGTTTGTCTTCTCCACAAGAGAACAGGTACGGGCTCCTTGTACTCCACAGTCACACCCCGCACAGGACTAGTATGCTCAGTCAGAGACAGGTTTAATTTGCCACCTGCTACATCCCTGCTCTTTGCAGTTCTGTCAGTAGACCCAGTAGCAAACCACTGGTTTCCAGGTTCCTCAGCAATTCACCGAACCCTGCCATGATGCCCACTGGTAATCCTGCGGAGTCTCCATTGTGGATGCCTGGGGTGTGGGGGCTTTTCTAGCCACCAGTCTAGAGTTCTTTGTATTGCCAGTCTCCCTCACAACTGAACCACCCACTGTAGACAGCGAGCAGTCAGAAGACTCAGGACATCGGTATTCACTTCCACCAGGTGCAGTGTGGTTTGTGTCAACCCTGGCCTGAGGCTAGTCACTGGGACGCTGATCACAGGGGAGGACTTATCCTTGTTGCACCCATCACATAGGAAGGCCACTCTGGTGAACAAATCATGGAGAAGGGCCAGTGTCTGAGACACACATTACACAGAAGCCCCTGTCACTGGGGCACCCATCACACATGAGAGCCAGTCACGGGGACATCCATCCCAAAGATGACCTGCATTAAGAGCAAAGGTATATGAATCACACCAAAGCCCCATGTTTCGTCTCACATCACTTTAAAAAAAAGTTAGGCCAGGCTCGGTGGCTCAGCCTGTAATCCCGTGCCTTTGGGAGGCTGAGGTGAGTGGATTGCCTGAGCCCGCGGGTTTGAGACCCGCCTGGGCAGGCGAGACCTCATCTCTACAATAAATAAAAAAAATT